GAGCTCTCTCAGCCCCACCTACCTCACAGGGTGTCTGTGGTGGGGAGGGGAAGGGAAAGGAGTTTGTAAGCCATTCTGAGACTCCGAGTGAAGGGAGGGGTATAGATCCAATCTCTTCTTCTTCTTCACACCATTTTAGCCTGGAAACTTGTTTTAAGCTGTCAGTCGTCCACTCTTGTGGTCTATTTTTTTATGCCAGTCTGGGTTTTTAATGCAGGCATTTATACTTCGGTGTGGTGTAGCGGTTAAGACTGTCGGACTAGTATCTGGGAGACTAGTATCGAATTTCCACTCATGCCATGGAAGATTGCCGGCTGCCCTTGGGCCTGTCACACACTCTTAGCCTAACCTACCTCACAGGCTTGTTGTGAGGATAAAATGGAGGAGAAGAGAATGAGGTAAGCTGCCTTGGATCCCCATTGGGGAGAAAGGTGGAGTATACATGAATTAAATAAATATTATTTTGTAAGCCGCCACAGGCAGGTTTCCTGGAGAGGTGGCATGATTTTTTTTCTAGATAAATCTTAACTGCCTTGCTAGCATGATATATTCCAGCTGTTTCTGCTAAAACAATGTTCCTAAAAGGGTGGGGGGATGGGTGAGGCAGAGCATCCACTGCAATAAATCATTCAAGTCAGTTGCTAGTATTGTTATCCGACAGGGTTTGGCTCGGTCCCTTTGAGGAGGTGGATGGCTGTCTCTCGGAACACATGCAGCTAAATGCACACACATAAAAGGTATGTAAGTGTTCAGTGCACATAGCCTGCCATGGCACATTTTTGTAGAAGGGAGTATAAACGCTATGTAGCCCTAAACTGTTAAGTGCGGCGGACATCACACACGCGGACATCACACGCGAGCGGCGGACATCACACACGAGAGGTTATTTTGGCTCCCCCGGCTCTCGGGAGGGGCTCTTTAAAAAGTTATGGCCGCGGCTGCTGTGGGGAAACTTTTTCCCCACCATAGAGAACAATGAAGGGGATGGGGGCAACCTGTTTGGGGGCCCGTAGAATTGGACCCCCTGGTTCAATGTCCTTCAAACTTGGTTGGTATCTTGGGGAGAGGCTCCAGCAGCTACCCTGCGATTGTGGAGCCTCTCCCTCAAACCCCCTCTCCTCCAGCCCCCAGAATATACCCTATGTTTTCGCCGTTGACTTCAATGGCCCATAGGATATAATGGGGCCGAACTGCGGGAAGTCGATTCAGATCAGAGAATCTGATTTGGCCCGCAGCAGCCTGAAAGGGGCCCGAATGAGCCATTTTCGGGGATGCATTCGGTTCAGACCAACTGAATGCACATCCCTCCAGCAGCCAGCTTGCTCGGGCTCTCTGCAGCCGCGGGGATCCTGAGCAAACCAAGGGAAGGTGGTTTAAACCGCCTCTCCTTCCCTCCAGCAGCCGGCTTGCTCGGGCTCCCCGAGCAAACCAAGGGAAGGGAAGGTGGCGGAGCAGCTGGAGACATTGAGCCTCAGCTCCACAAGTAATGAGCACTCGAGCCCCGCCCCCAGCAGCCCTCAGGCCGGAGCACCTGGAGCAGTCTTGGGAGGCGGATTGGCAAAAAGCAAAACCAAAAGCGCAGGAACTCGAGATAACTCCAGGAATGGAGCCGGTTCCTCTTCCACAGCTCAAAATGCGACCCACGAACTCTGAGCTTGCTTTTTCTCATTTGCGATTCTGGTCTCCGCACTCCTTTAACGAGGCAGCCCTGAAGCTTGGGGCGGCGGGAGTTTCTTTGCACGCAGCTTGTGCAGCTGGATGAGTGCCTCTTCTGCTTGCCCACCTCTCGCCTCTGCACCTCATCTTCTGCCAGGCATGGAGGAGCCCAGCTCACCCAGGCTTCTTGCCTCCTGCTGTCTTGGCCCACTGGTGCACGAGTGAGTCCCCAAAGTTTGACTCTTCCTCTACAAGTCTCTGGCGCTGGAGGTATTCGCCTCCTTCCCTCCTGCCTGCTATGGCTGCATAACTGTGAGAGATTTCTTAACATAGTGTTCCTGCCAGGGAAGCTAGGGACCCTGCCCATGAGTCTCCATTTCATCCTCACAACAAACCTGTGGGGTAGGTTAGGTAGAGAAGGGGAGATTTGGCCCGGGGTCACTCAGCCAGCAGAGTGAGAATACAAACCTGGGTCTCCCCACATCAGTCTGCAGCTC